ATGGGCACAAGACTTCCTTATTAATGCAGAGATACAATGTCATCGTATAGGTTGCCCTTCATATCACTATTTTGTTCGTATTATCACATAGAATTATCTGCATGCCTATTTGTACATAAGCATGTTTTTATATAAGGATGGAATTTTCCTTGATCCCTGGTGCTCTTATTAAATACATTATTAAAACAACAATTCTCATCTTATTTTTTTTAAATTCCTTATCTTTGTTGCTTTCTAACCTGACTACAGGAAAGAAATTTTGATCAACCCCACAGTGTTGTAGTCAATGAAAGTGTAATCTATCCTTAATGATAGGAAAAAGATAAATTAAGGGTATCTGTGTGGTGTGGTTTTGTGTTTTGATTGGGTTTGGGTTTTTGTTGTGGGTTTTTGTGTTATGTTTTTTGTTTTTAAGTTCCAGCCTTCTTATTTGATGATAAGCCTAGATCCCTAATTTGGAGAAAAGCTTGCAGTACCTGGTACCATTGAAGTATAAATATCACTATGAAATTGATATGTGTAATATAGGTCATGCACACGTTATTTTTAATGATGGTCAGTCCAAACATGCATAATGTTGTTTTGTGAAGCAATGTCAGTTCATAGGTTGTCCGTGGATCTTGGTTTTTCCTAGTATGTGTATACACTATATAAAATATTAAATTTGGGGTTGTCCCTAAGTAAATCTCTCAAGACAGTTTTTCCTGTATGATTCAAGGCAGGCTGATAGAATACTATCCGGCTTTTGATCCTAGGCAAATTTAGAACCTGTTTCTCCGTTTCTGTTTTCCAGTAGTTTATCTTTCAATAATCTGTGGAAATGTAACTTTTTCTTAATAAGAAAAAAAAGGCTGGAAAAAGCAATACGCGGTGATCTGTGATCCTGTTATGGTAGGGTTGTTGATAAGAGACAATTTTTGGTCTCAATTGCTCTATTCTGTTTTTAACTTTTGCATTGTAATCAGTTTCATTTTATAGAGTCAATCCCTGACAGAGATGCTGTACTTCAGTTAGTTAAATTACAAATAATGCAAAAATTATGAATGTTACAGTTAAAAACACATACTTCCTTATAGATTTGTAGCACTGCACTGGATAAAGCTAAAGCTGCTCTCTAATTCTTGTTTCTTATCACTGTTATCTGTAGTGAATTGGTTTTCCAAAGTTAAACTGTATGCAGGTGTCATTGCAACATGCTTGAAGTATCCCCCACTGGCCTGTTACGAAAACCAGTACGACACCATGCACTGTGATACAATGGGTGTGCTCAGAAAGATTAATATTATCTATAGTATGCAGTTGCAGTTACACAGTTGTGCAATACTGTCACATACTAGGAAAGCATGATCTAGTACGCTAATATGGATGCAATAAATATTGAGTCCCTCTATGACCACACTAATTGTATAGTTATCAGTGCTTGCTGGTACAGATAATACTAAATCGAGCTATCACTGTCAGTCCAGTGGAACAGTTCAACAGGACACAAAACAACAACACTTAACACTAGTTACACTTATAGATCATAACTAAATCACATAGGAACAAATTAATTTATAGATTTTAATACTGGGAAAAGAACACAATTGCTTCATAAGATGGCCAATAGTATAAATAATGTAAAGAAATAAGCAAATTAGTCTGTGATTTTCCTTGCTAAATACAAGTTGAAGTAAGATTTTCAGCTTGTATGATGTGGTCTACAAGACTTAAGCAGTTCACACCCGCTAAGCGCCTATCCCATGAAGTCTGAATGAGATGCACTGCTGTCAGAGCACATGTCAAAGACTAGCGGCTATCATCTGCAGAACTGAAATACAGGCATTGCACTTACTTTGACAGAAGAACCATTCCGGACTTGTGTTGATAACAAATGCTGTAGTTAAGATTAAAGAAAATCTTAAGATAAAATAATTTGTCTGATCAAATGAAGATATTAACTGAAGGATGAATGAAGAACCCATTTTCTGATTATATTCAGTTATAACTGAACCACTTGACATAAAATTGAAGCATTGCGTGCAACATCCTTATAAACAGCTTTTATTAGTTAATTCTGGTAGACCGAACAAGGTAAAAACTGGAGTCACAAAGTGAGTGTTGCATGGCACTAGGTACTGGTAGTGGGATGAAGTGGGATCTCCTGAATCCACGCTGTTTCTTCCAAGGTGACATTGAGATATTTCAGAAGGGCAAAGCGAAGTAGCTTGAACTGCTGCTTGCTGCACTGTTGTTGACTATCATGCACTGCTTTAAAAAGTATTTATTCCAGTTAGTGACTTCTGCCAGCTAACTGAAAATCAAATAGCTACTCCTCTTTCTCCATGGGAAAACACAGGCATGACAATGATCCTGAAGTACTTTGTTCAAGCAAAAAGCATCGGAGATGTGAAGGAATCGCTATCTCTTCAGGTTGAATTTATTTCTTTATTTTTCAAGTAGTGACTAGTTTTATAAATAAACAATAAGTATGTATTTTCATTGGGTTTCTTGTGTAAACTACATTCACATGTACTAGATTCAGTATTCACCTTTTGGCTTATCCTGTCGGGAGCAGTGGTGGTCCACAGCACTGCGTTTGCACATCTGTTCTCAGAAAGGGAAAATGGGTGGCTTGGCCCAGGTGTCCCTCTGCCTCTGATCTCCTTTACTGTAATTAAAATGGTTGTGTTTTAATCTTTGACGCTTCTGAGGCTTAAAGGATGGTGTAGCAAATAAGGAAATTAAAAATGTTGGGTTTTCTTTGAGTCTGTAAATCATACTTAGTAGCAACAGGTTTTTTTCTGAGTGAAAAGAGAGAACAGTAAAGAAGAAAGAGAAGTAGGAAAAAAGAGAGATGAGTTTATGCTACCTTGCCCTAGCATCTTGTCAAGAAAAGATCCTTATGTTTTCCCCTGCTCAGGTTAGAAAATTATGAGCCCTATTTTTAATCCCCAGTTCACAGCAGCAGAACACCAGGTAGTTATTTCTAGCATCTGTTTGTCATAAAGTAAGGTATACCCTAAAGAGACACTCTTCATAAACACTGAGCACCAGAAATACTGTTCGTATTAAATTGGACCACATGAATAATACAGAAGTCATGAATTTAAATTATTACTGGCATTTGGAGAAAATGGCAGTATTTCAGCCATTAAATAACAACTTTGCTTTATTTCTGGAAACAGAAAGTTATTAAGTTGTAAATCATATTGATGCTATGGCTCAGATATATTTCTGGTTCTCAAACCATCCAGACATATCTCAGCAGTACTGTGCTGCACTACAATTGTTTCCTCAGAGGTCTTCAGTGCACTTCTGTGAGCTACTTGAACCATAGCTGTACTATAATGGCATTCATTATTTTATCATCCTAGGTCTAGGTGCCAGTGTTTGCAGAGCCAAAATGCTGTGGAGTTTTTGAGGTGGATTTTGGAGTTTTTGAGGTGGATTGTGGAGTTTTTGAGGTGGATTGCCTAACCCATGTTGTGCTTGATGCTTCTGCAGTCAAGTAACTGGTGGTGTCAGAACAGCCAGCTAACTAGGGTAGAATACACCAAGTAGTATTGTCTCAGGAACTTTTTCTCCCTGATCTTTGAATTTTATCTGTTTACGTATCCTTAGCAGGGTAAGACTAAAGCTTTACCAGATGATGACCTACATGGGTAAATAAATATCTTTGTAGTCTGCAGTGCTCGTGATTTACCTTTCCTACTTCTGCTCTTCCTTCACCCCTTAACCTGTCTTCTAGCTGGTGAAATTAAGTTGAGGTGTGTTGGAAAAATAAGCGTTGAAACAAATGACTGCTTGTTGATGAGGTCTTCAAGGGGCTTATGTCAGAATGTAGAGGAGAACAGATTCCGTTCAGGTAATTTTGGCACAGGGAACCAAAAGTTTCCCTCTTCTGCTTTAAGGAAGATGTCCTGTGTGATCTTGAGAGAAACCGTTTGTCTTCCTAGGACTTTGCTGTGTAAAATGAGGATGCTGTATTTGCACAAGTGCCAAAAAATAAATATAAGATGTAGGAGGCACTTTCAGTTTGAGAAGTCTCTCCGGTTCATATTATTTGGCAGAAAATAAACTGGATATAGTGACCATAAGAATAGAAGGAAACAGTTTCTTTGGACTTTCCATCAGGTTTCTTATTGTTGCTTCAGTTGTTACTTCAAAAGGGGAAACCTGGGAGAACATAAAAGGGTCCAGTTAGAGAAGTCACCTGCACTGAAAAGCTCAGAGACTTGAATATGTAGGGTTTCACATTTTTCTTCATCAGAGATACACAAGACATCAGAAACCAGAATACTAAACAGTGGAAAATGCAGATACAGAAGAGCTGCAAATCCAACATGACAAAAACAAGCTCCAAGGGGAAAACACCTTTGGAGAGTGAAAGAAGCACTGAGCAGCACAGGAGGCTACATGCTAGGGCTCAGGCTATGTACAGATAAGATTTGATAAAAGTCAAGCTGACTTAGACCTTGTGAAAGAAGTCAAAGCAAATAGGAAAAGGTTTTTCAGCTATATACATAAAAGAGACTACCTTTAAAGAAAAGCCTCCTAGGTTGTAGGATAGGATAAGATAAAGTGTAAAAATGGCAAAATAAATAATGTGCCTCACAATATGTAATGACGATTAGGCTGAATGTGGGCTCGAAGACAGGAAAGAAAAAGGGAGAAAGGGAATGAAAGCTGAGATGCAGAATATTTTACAACAAGAATTTAATGACCTTGGAGAAAAAAAAAGAAAATGAGGTTCA